AACTAATCCAAATACCATATTAATTAAAAAAAAAAAAAAACAGAGAGAGTTATATCAATTAAAAAAAAAACAGAGAGAGAGAATGCAATACCCATGGCGATGGCGATGAAATTAAAGAATCGGTGCCAAGAGACTCAAGTAAGCAGTAAACTCCTGACTCCGCCTTCAATACAAGGTTGTTTAAGAAGCTTTACAGGTGATGACTTGGCTCCGGATTAGATTATATGCTTGATGACTAAAACAAACATGCTAAGATTCATACCTCAAAATAGTAAAAGAAAAACTAATCCGACAATAAAGAATCCGACAAATGACATGACTTCTTGAAGTCACCGCTCTACGTCGACGTACAACTGTTTTTGGTACTTTTAACTCTCTGTTTTAGTCAAAATCAAAAGTTAAAAACGAAGGATGATGGGCTCTCTGGTAGAATACATTGAAAGAGGTAAAGATCATCCCCATCCCACTTTAGCAGGGAAGCCAGCTTTATTTGCAATGACGTATGTCGTATATTGTGGATTTATCTAGATTAAAATTTTCCAACATCACGCAACCTTTAGCTCCAGGAGAAAAGGAAAAATTGTCTTCGGTATTTGAAATTACGGTTAAAATTAAAATTAAATAAAAAATAATTTAATATATTTGATTAAAAATATTTTTTAAATTAATTTTATAGAATAAATAATATATATCTATATATATATATATATATGTTAATATTAATAGTTTTAAATTTAAATATTATATATTTAATTACTATTATTATATTATGAAATAAATAATATTTTTATAAAATATTTTTTATTATTTCATTAAACAATTTATAATTTTATTATGTAAAAAATTTATCTGACAAGAACTATAGTTTTCATGATTTTTTTAATATATAATAAAATTAAATAAAATATTATTAGGAATAAAATTAAAATTACAATGCAAGTAAATATAATTTACTCTACACTAGTTTTTGAAAAAAAAATATTATTCTCGTAACAATATGAATAAATTTAATTCACTTCAAACTAGTTGTTTAAAAAAAATATTGTTCATGTTAACATGAACAATGCAAGTAATTATTAATTTATTGGACTGGTTTTTTTTAAAGAATTATTCATGTTAATAGTGAATTTATAATTTATTGTATTATTTTTTTAAAAAATTGTTTATATAAAAAAGTAAACAGTGAAGAATAAAAGCAGCTAAGAAATGCTTTGAAAAAACATGTGTTTTAAATGTGAAATTCACTAGATCCCATCAAAAATAAATTATATTTTTAACTTTACTAAATATTTGTTTTGATATAGTTATTTTAAATATAGAAATAACCACACACATAAACGGACACGAAACAAACCTTTAATACTGGCGTCTGGCGTAAACAAGAGCTCTTTTGATTTTTTAGCTAGAATTTGTAATAATAATAAAAGAAGCTTGTGCAGGACTCGTTTAAAATCATGAGGACTCGTTTAAAATCATGATCAGATCAATAATCTTGCAAGAATAATAAATAATATATTTTTGGAAAAGAGAAATTAATTTGATTGTTATTGTTTTGTGTAGAGTTACAAGATTCAATGAGATAACCTTGAAAAAATGTTTGGAAACATAAGGTTTATAAAAAAAACTTTAGAGAAAAAAAGGTAAACGGACATTACCGTCCTTTCCGTGAGATTTTGTATTCTTTCATAGCATATTGAAAAGGAAAGGAGAGCACAAAGCGCAAGTCATGGAGCACAAAACATCAAAGACAAATTGAGATATGTACATCTGGGTCCCTCCTGTAAAGTTAGCCCCATACCCCCACGCGAATAAATTTATTTTGCAATTGTGAAAAATTAATTGCTAATTGTCCATTTTTCAATGGTTTTTGTTAAAAAAGAAAAGGAAAGAAAAAGAAAACATGTGGGAGCTAGCATTGTCATAATGCTGCTTGCTAGTGCTAAATCCATGTAGATACTTGATAAATTATGTTGCCATTGACGGGCTATCAAGTTTATGAATGAGTAACACATGCTAGCCCACATCATCGTTAAACTAATCTCGAAAGCATTGAGGGAGGGTGCTTTAGCAAGTGGTAGCTCCTCCTCCTACTCTAATTGTAATTCTAGCCCGTGACGAAAGGATTGTTTATCTTATTTTTGGATAAGTGACTGGCACCAAATCCGTTGATGAGCATGATGAAGGTTATTTCATTTTCCAATTTGTTTCCACTGTAGACGAGAATTAGCATTAAAAGTATAGAATAAAGTATGTTAAAAGCACAGTCCAATAATTAGAAAAAAAGCTTTGTTTAAAGGATGGAATGATGAGACCAATCCCATTTCGAAGTGGGAAATTTTAGGCCATTGCAGCATCATCTGAGGCACCAAGAACTATGAGATCATCGCGAGGTCTTGAGCCACACTAAAAACCAGGAAACTCCTCCTTGGTGGCCTGGTATAGAGATACACCACTTATAGTCATTTATGCGAGCTATCGTTTGATTTTGATGTATCCTCTGACCTTATACTGAATCTTTTACCGTGCTAGCTAGTACTAGAGGTTTTTTTTTTTTAAATGGTAGGACTACATAAGGGAAGACTCTGAAACACCGCATTGTTTGAAAGTTCATCTCTCCAACAATGTATGGTGATATGGCGTTCCATGTATGAATTGACAATAGCATTCCGTCTGTTACACAAAGCTGTGAATAATAATAATAATAATACGCAGGAGTTAACATCATAGAATCCTTGATGAAAGATGAAGATGGACTTTTCTTTTTCTTTTTCTTTTTCTTTTTTTGGAACAGCAAGAGATGAACATTTTCTAATTCTTGTTTTCATTACAAAGGAAAAGAAACAGAGAAAAAAAGATGGGACTCTGATTAGATATGAATGTTTTAGTAGCAGTTATATAGGTCGGTTCAATGTGTTTTTTATATAAAAAAATCAAAAATATAAATTAAAAAATTTATATAAGCGAGGTAATATATTTTATAATATAAAGTAAGACATATTATGCTTCAATAAAATAATATTTTTATTATGAAAAAAGAAAAAACATCAACGCCCCTTAATTTATGCTAGAATAAAACACCCATCCTATTGAGTTTTTTCTAGGCAGTAGGTAATAGATAATAATAGCTTTGCTTTTCTCATAGATAGGTTTGTCCGAGACCTCCGAGATCCAAAGACGATAAAATAATGGTAAAGCTTAGACAAAGGAGTCGTTTAGGGCCCAAAAGGGAAGTTCAAGCTTAAGTAGACAACGAGGCATGTACTTTGTTTAAAGGTGGTGCGCTGTGCTGATATTAATATATACAGGCCCAGACAAGGTTTCAGGGTTGACCTAATTAGATCCTCTCCCTCTACCTCTTTTTAGTAGCTAGGGACCGACCACAGCTCTGGACACAGCAATACAGGCTACGCTGTCCTTGGAGTTCTGTGCTGTAATCTTTATTACCTACTTACCGTCCTACATGCATATTATAATAATCTATATTACCTACTTCCCTATCTATATCGGTCGGTTCTAGGGCCTTGTTTCCGTCCACTCAGGGCATCTTTTCATCCTTTCGGTGGGTGAAACAGAGAAAAGGAAAATGGCCTGTAAAAATGCGTTCTCATAACAGTTGATTATGTCGAAAAAAATTCTTCTCTCTTTATACATTTACTGATCTACACGTAGATTTGACTTGAAAATGTTAATCAGATTATTAAAACTCACACGTTCTTCTCATGTAAGATGCTTATACTGCGGGGGGAGAACAGTTTACATCATCAAGCTACTAGTCACTGCGGGGGGAGAACAGTTTACATCATCAAGTAGAGCTGAGACGTTAAAATGGTTTTGAATATAATGAAAGCTAAATGATTTTCCCTTTCCTGGACCTCTTTAAAGCAATGGTTTGATATAACAGCTAGGAGGGTTATTGGGCAGGCAAATCCATTTGTAGGCTGGCTTTGTGCTGTTCTTAACAATCTTATCCACCACGACCAAGGGATTGATCCTCTTCCCTACCTCTGGAAGCAGCGCATTTCACGGATCATACTCTTCCAAAAGAGAGATGATAGCGAACGGATCCAATAATGGCCAGATACCATCCCCAAAAACATTAGACCAAACAAGAACTGGGAACTTCGGATCATCACCAGACACAGAGATTGCAAGACAACGCCTGCAGAAGCACAAATAGTGAAACAATCAACCTCCAAGCCAAACTGATCCTCTGATTAATTCTTGTTGACAGTCAAATTGGCAATCCGTTGAGATTACGAAGGATACCAGCACTCCCAGGTCAAGATCTGCAGAAAGCAGGAACACAAAGATAACAGCAAAAACCACTGGCTTTCTCCGCCTGTAAGAAAATGCTGCCGCCTCAACTTTTTCTCAATTTGAGATGGCTACTGTCACAAATATATTTCTCCACCTGAACTCCTTCAGTCCAAATCAACATGGAATTAGGGATAACCATACTTTCTTACCTCCATTTTCCAAGAATTTATTCACTATACGAGCGTGTTTGTATTAGTGTAAGAGTGCGTGTGTTTGTGTGAGAGAGCTAAATTTTGCACCAAGATGCTTAAGTATATACAAATTAAAAAATTATATTCTCATTCATGTATGCTGAGATAATAATTTAACATGCTTAATGCTCGCTCCACGGGAGAAAAAAAATGAGAAAATGCCCTTAACATCTAATTGGTCAAAATAACAATCAGCTAGGACATGCACATTAGCATCACCATTCTATAACTTCTCAAAGAGTATTAGGTTGGTGTGCAGTGTACACAAAGAACAGTGTGGAAAGCATTAGGTTTAAAACCAAGAAAGATGAAGGATGAGTAGGAGGTGCCAGTGGACTATAGAACAAAGGACTATTGTAGGTACTGACAATGATTCTCAAAAATAGCACGACATAATGTTATATGATGATGAGATAAAATGCAATAGAAAAAAGAACGCAGGGAAAGGCAACTCTTAAAGGTCAAAGCACCCCGTCGGAAATGAGTCAAATCTCCCCTAACTTCATGTTGCCACGAGTTTAGTAAGTTACCAGATACAAGGTACATATATACATTAAGAACATTCCTCTTGGATAAACAACACGGTTTCTGCATTTAGTAATCTTCCAGTAAAATGAGGCTATTCAAAGCTGAACATATACAGAGGAATCGCGAAAGAATGGTGATGTGATGTGGAGAGGAAGAGTGCAGACCCACTGATGAAAGCGAGAAGGTGGTATGAAGAAGAGGAAAACAGCTACCACTGAGCCGCGCATAAACTTGTATGAAGTTGCAGGCAACAGCAGAGTCAAGCACTACAGCAGCATTATTCAATAAGGATGAGCAGATGAAAACAAAACAAACACTTTCTCAGATAATCTCAACATCCATATTGCTTTGGTTGTCAGCGCCACTACAACATCTGTATCAGCATTACTCTGCTTTTCTTTGACTGAGCGCACAATCAGCTACTAGTTTGCTTCTCTTCAAAACTAACCTTTCATGGTTCGCGAGAAATAGAGGCACAAAGGGCATTCAGAAAGAGACAGATGGAAGGAAAGAAGAAATATCAGAAGCCTTATATAATGCATCAAACAGTTGATTTGATCACTCAAAACTTCTAGCACAAAGTTAATGATCGACTTCCTTCTCCCTTCCCCTCTCAGCAAGCACAGGTCTCAAAAAGAAGTAGGAATTTAGTTCCAACTCCATGAAGAGAGCGGATAATGAGGCAGGCCTTTGAACAAGACAAATATTTGACACGTTCATTTCGCCCTTCACATTGCAGCCGCCTCATTTGTTGTTCAAGTTTGAAACCAACTAGATCAATGAAAGGGTGTAGGATGCCACTAACAATCAAGAACATCAGGCCCTAGAGTTGCCAGACTAATTAAAAGTAATCCAAGCATCAAAATACACGCACAGAGAGTAAATCAAAACGACTCAACTCAAACCGAAAACCTGAACCTGTAATAATGTGGAGTTATATTACAGGACTTGCTTAGTAGCTGAACTCAATCAAACTCATGTACATACAGAATAATTATCATGATTCCACTAAAATTAACCATCATATAGATGCAGCAAAAGCAGATAAAAGCAGATTTTATTCCTTCCAATACAATGTTGAAATCTCGAGCAGTAGCACCCAGATTAACCATAGATTGATTATACATATATAAACCCGTGGAATGACAAACTGAACACGGTAAATAACTCCTCACCAAACCACAATTTAACATCCGTAATCAGCACGATAATCACTATAATCGTCACGCGTAGAGAGATCATTCTCCACTTTCTCTGCGATTTTCTCATCCTCGTGTTTCAATCCCTCTTCCAATGCAAGTCCACCTAGAGCCCCAGCAACGGCACCCACAGCCAATCCCGTTCCAAACCCCATACTCTTCCCTCCTTTATGCCTCTCCCTCTGAGTATCATAACTACCATAATCAACCGGCGCAGAGGGCCCACTGCCGTAGCTACCCATCGTCCGATCAAAAAAGGGCCTTGGCGGCGTGGGTGGCGGCGGCGCAGAGGAGTGATATCCTGGATAATACGGAGGAGGGTAGGCGTCGTGGTAGGGACCATAATGCAGTGCGGATGGGGGAGGGGGGGAGAGCGACGCTGGAAGCGCCATAGACAGGCGCCTATAGTCAGGAGGTGGTGGGATAGCAGCGCCACTGTAATAATAGCTCTGTGGAGCGGTAATTCCGTAAACTGGCTGCGGCGGTGGATGAGGAGAAAACGGTCTTTCACGCACACCGAGTTTGATTCTGATTTTACCCTGAGGGCGACCAGAGGGTCGGGTTAGTTCAAGAGTCCGGACCCGGTTTGAGTCATCGGGGTCGGATAAATCTTTTAATGCGACCCGGAGAGTGCCAACGAGGGGTTTGGGGGTTTCGCTTGGCTTGGAATGGAAGATTTCTAGGGTAAGGAAGGAGTCGCGAAGAGCGAAGGTGAGAGGGAGCGTGAATCGCTCGTTCCAGACGGGTCGGGTCGAACCGGATTCGTCGGACTTTGTTGAGAGTCTGCGGCTCGGGTCGACCCAGAAGACTGCGTAAGGTTTGAGGGCTCCAGTTTTCCAGTTTACGTTTTTGAGGTGTTTTGCAGAGATTATTGTGAGGTCGAGATCGAGAGGCACTTGGGGTGGAGGGCGAGAGGTGGCCATTGTCGGTGATGCTAACGTGCGCTGCGAGTATTGGATATGGTGTGAGCGAAGAGGAAAGGAAGACTACGAAGGACTTTTACGCGTGCAAAAACATTATATTGGCTCAGTTCAGACTCTGCGTCTTTATTTTTGTTATTACAGACAACTTTGAGTTGATAGATGTAAAATTAACCTTTTCCAGTGTTTTTAAACCAAGTTTGGTGTTCGATCCGATTCAAGATATAGGTTATGGATCTTGATCTGATTATCGAGATTAATTTTATTTTTTTATAAATTAAAATAATGTTATTTTAATAAATAATTAAAAAATAATTAATAAGTTGTAATTAAATTTTTGACCAGTTTAGCTAAATTTTTAATTATCTTTATTTTTTTATAAAATTGGACTGATTTATGATTTTCAAGTTGACCCGCCAAAGTGTACAGGGTTTTTACCTGGGAAAAGTTTTCCTAGTGGTACATTTTTCTCCTGTACCGTAAAACAATTTTGTCGGGTCATTTTATCTACTGACCTCGTGTCACTTGTCCTCTTTTCTTCAACAAACCTTTTATTTTTTTATTTAATTTACTCCATGGATGACAATAGTTACACTTTATTCTCATCCTTGATTTTTTCTTCATTTTAGCGTGTTGTCATATCTAATATTCTTGGAAAGTTTATGATAAATGGTTTCTCCAATAAACTATCGAATTTGCTTACTTAAAAATATAAAAATATGAATTGGAGTATGGTCACAAATATAATAAAAAATAGAAAAAGTAGACGAGGAGAAGTTATCAAAACATTCCACGTATTTTTTTATTAATAAAAAACAATCTAATTGAAATCCATAAAACTAAGATCTCACACACCTAAAATAAAATAATCAAGATTTATTAATTTTTAAATATCTAAGATTATTAACTACTTGATTAAATACTAGTTAATTACTACGTGTAAAACAAAACAAAAATTGAAGCTTGTTAAATTTAGAATATTTAAGATTATCCCTTTTTTAAAAACTAAATAAGTAATCTTTTATCTTAAAAACATTATTTCTTATGCCTTTCGCTTTACTATGTCTTGCTCCGGCATGCACTTATGTCTTCTATTCTTTACTACGATCACGTTTTGGTCCCTCTTTGTTACATTTGATTTTGTGCTGCGATCATGGATGCTCGAGAGAATTTTGTTTTAGAAAGCAGACATTCTTTTATCATGGGATTTACATAATCAAAGCTTCAAAAGTAGTCAGATAAAAAACAAAAATGCAGATGCCTGGAAATAAAAGGTAAAAAAAACGGCTCCCGATCTGCCGCTAAGATTTCTCTTGTCTTCCTCGTATTCTGCCTGGATTTTAATAACAGTAACTTGATTCTCTACTGTATCTATGACACAGACATTATGTGTAAAAATTAAAACCTTATCATACATGGTTCGTAATGTGAATCGTCTTGAATAATTCAACTGATCGCAAAAAAAACAACAGTACACGCCAATAATTGCTTATAAGTTCAAATCTTGTGTGTGCTTCTACAGCCTATAAGTTCAATCTAAAGTTCCAGACAGGGATGCACATTGCACAGTCGAGTTCTTGACTGTGGATTGCTTCTTCTTTTTTCTCTCTCTGGCTTTTACACTCTTGTTCTTTAAAGGGTGTTTGGTTTTTATGATTCAATTGTTTTTTTTTAATGTTTTTTAAAATATTTTTTAAATAATAAAAAATACCATTTTAATTAATTTTCAATTAAAAGTTATTTTAGCAAAACCATATTTCACTAGTTATCAAACACATTTATAGTCTATTTAAGAACACAATAAATATTATTTTTTAAAATAATTTTTATTTAAAAATATATTAAAATAATATCTTTTAAAATTTTTAATATTAATATAAAAACACTACAAAATTATTTTTAAAAAAAAAAAACACAATCATGTAACACGTTTGGTATACAGGTGTGCATGCACGTTCGGAATTTACTTGCGACACGTTCTCCTCATTATTGCACTTTCCAATCCACGCGAGTGTAAGTTACGTCATGTTAGATATGCGAAGTGGGCCTATTTCTATTGTTCATTGTTAGCACTCCATTAATTGGCAATGGATGTGGTACAATACCGTGAGCCAATTTTTAGATTTATTGAATGTTTATTTTTGTATTTTAAAAATATTTAAAAAATATATAATTTATTTTTTAATTTATTTTTTATGTGTTGATATTAAAAATATTTTTTAAAAAAATTATAATAATATATTTTAAAAAATAATCACTATTACAGTATCAAACCATTTTTAACATCAAATCAAAAAAGGTCTTCCTTTACCCCATGGTTACTTCTTACAGTGTAATGTAGTTACAAGGGAGATTAAAGAGATGAGAATATATATAAAACTATTTTTTTTTCTCGAAACAACTATTGGTATTTGCTCTACAGAAAGAAATAGACATGAAAAAAAATTAAAACAACATTTGTTTAACATAGTTGAAGATATTATTATATAAAAAAAGATTAAGATGGAAGTTGGTTTTCTCTTTGAGTAGCAATCACTCCTAAAATAATATAATTTTTTATGTGTATTAAATTCCAAGACAATTTCTAATTAAATTTTCTGGAAATTTTAAAGAGACTGAAAGAAAAAATATAAGGGAAAAGTACTCCAAAATCACCTTCTATCAATCTGACAAAATAAACTCTGTAAAACAAATCTAAGTCAAAATATGATATATCATCATTGAACAAGTACTTTAATTGACATCCATAACGAAGTTAATTGCTAGACTTTGAATAATCGAAATATTTATTTGAAAAAAAATACAGGCATTGATTGTTCAAACCATGACATTTTTTTTATTTTTTTTCCAGTCATTATCTCTAAAAATAATCAATAACATATATATCATAAAAAATTTAAATTAAAGGTTTTTATTAAACATGGATTCATTAATTTCTCTTCTCAAAAACCACATCAATGCATCTTTTTTCTTCTATGATGTGAAAATAAGAAAAATAAATGTACATGCTTTTAAATCATTGATATTGAATACACGTGACAGTCAATGGTAAGTTATCCAGCTTTCCATATGGCAATATAAAGCCTGTAAAAAGGCTTGCCCAAGAGTTACTCAAGGAGCTGCACAAGCTAACGACCTATGAAGACCTTATAGATTAGGCTCTTGAGCTAACAAATAATGGCTTCCATAAAACTACCAGCATGAATGAAATGAAATTACAATATGCCATGACGAGGAGAATTTACGCGAAGAACGACATGATGCCATTTTTTTAGTTGTTTTTTTATTTAAAAATATATTAAAATAATATTTTTTTATTTGTTAAGAAATAATTTTTATACCAACATATAAAAATAATTTAAAAATATTAAAAATATATTAATTTAAGATAAAAAATAAAAATATTTCAATTTTTTTAAAAAAACACTTCTAAAACTAAAAAACAGTTCTGCTTACTCATCTCGGAAAATTGACTTCCATTCTTCAAAAATACAGAAGACAAAAATAAAATTACGAAAACAAAACAATAATAAGAGTTTTCTTTGTCCACACTAACTCCTGCACGAGGTTTTCTCAAAACCTAGTTAAGATAATTTTTATGTTAATATTATGTTAGGAATTATTCTTTGAAATATATATTTTTTTGAGACATGTTTAAATAATATTTTTTATTTTTTAAAATTTATTTATGAGATCATATATTAAAATAACTAAAAAAATATTTAAAAAACTAATTTTAAATAAATAGCATTTTTACGACATTGTCAAAGACTTGACTTAAGACACGCAATCATTGATTCAATAATTTTAAAAGGATAAAGTCCCCAAAAGAGCAAAAAAAAAAAAGAGAGGATAAATTCCGTAATTCAGACAAACGGCAAAAAGCCACTGGATATACTCCGTAATTCAGACAGGATATGAGCACTTAAAAGGAGGACAAAACGGTAAAAAGCCATGGTCTCAACAACCCAAACCGTCGCTGCTCCTTTGCTTTTCCAAAACAGATTAGGAAATAAAACACGGGCAGTCTTTGAGAGCGCCGGGCAGCATAAGCATTTGCGAGCTGCTTTCTGCAGTGAAGACGGAGATCAGTATGTCGTTTCTAACAAATATCTCCTTCTTAAGAGGAAGGAAAAAAAAAAATACATACACGCTTCTTTCGTACACTCACTCGTTCTCCCATTTTCTCTCCCAAATTTAGATGATCTCTCTTTCTTTCATTTTCCTCTCTGCACTTTCCCGGGAAACTAAAGAAAAATTTCCCCTATTAGATAGACATGTCAGACGCTTTGATAAGTGGACTCGCCGGAGCTGGCGGCGGGATCATAGCTCAGCTTATCACATATCCTCTTCAAACTGTAAACCTCACGATCTATTATGCTCTTTTGAATTTTGTTTTTGTTTTGCAAAAAGAATTGTTTCTGTTAACATCCGCTGTTAATTATCAATATTTGATAATGTGCAGGTAAACACTCGGCAACGAACGGAGCGTGATGTGAAAAGGCAGAAGGGGAAGCATGTGACTATTGAAGTGTCAGGTTCTGCGCTCGATTTTCTTCTCTTTTCATATCTGTAATTTATTATTTGGCTTTCACTGTCTTCAAAATTTTGATCAAGTTATTTCTTATATTACTAGAGCTTTAATATTCTAGTTTTGAGTTTTAGTTTTTCGATTGAATGATATGTGGGTAATCAAGAATGAAGGATGCGGGCGATTGTATAGCGGATTAGCGCCATCAGTAGTAGGCGCAGCTTGTTCTCAGGTAAAGCCATTTTAGCATCTTAATTTCTCTTTGAACCTTCGTTTTTCTTGTTAGCATGGATTAAATAGTTTCAATTTTTATTTATTTATTTGTTTGGTTGCCAAAAATGTGGTGGAAATAGAAATTAGAAGCCAGAGTTTGGGAGTTTATAATAGGTTGGACTGCAATTTGTTTAATATGATAATAGAAATAAAGTTAGGCATGACACGCAGAGATTTGCAAATTGTTGTATCTAATGGCATAGTTCAGTTAGAGATAAAGCATTATGATTCTCAATGAAAATGGTGTGTGGTCCCCTGGACACTGAAAAATGTGCATTCAATGCTGTGAGTCTGTGACTTACTGTACATCTCTCTCTGCTACTCCCATGTTATAGTTCTAAATTCTAATAACCATCTTTCAGGTTTTTAACTTCCACTATCAGGTTATCTTCCTAAACCCAAAATCTCAAATCACAGTCAATCCATAAAGCATGACCCGTGCAAGGAATTTAGATTTTTAAGGACTGATTACTATACACACGAAACTTCCAGTGAATAAAAAAGAATATTATTTTAAAGAAAATTTAATGACTTAAAATCAAAATCCTGTTAATATATGCGTGTTTGTCTGGGTGCAATAATATTGTTCTTGGACATTTAATTTGTGTCTTCTATTTTTCCTTGGTTGAGATTTTTAGCACCGCCTTATAAGTTCTGCATTTGATCATTTTGGCTTGCGTAATTTTCACCACTTCTTTTGCATTGTTTTGTGATCTCTTATTTGCTTTTATTTTTATGATACAGGGTGTTTACTATTATTTCTATCAAATATTCAGGGATAGAGCTGAAGCTATAGCTCATGAACGGAAGATGAATGGAATTGGTGATGGATCAGTTGGGATGTTGTCATCGCTTGTGGTGGCTGCCTTAGCTGGGTAATTTACTTTGTTCACAAAGTCTGTATGGAAACATTTCATTGTACCTGTGAACTATAAAAGCATTTATGGTCCACAGGGTTGTACCAGCTGCAACTATGCATCATGTTCACCCCAGTCAATCATAAGGGACAATCAATCATGCTAGCTTATATCTGTGTTTGATAAGTGTTCTGTACATGCTGAGGCCAATTTTTATTTTGAAGGGTTTCTTCAATTCTAATACAGTGCCTATTACAATGATAGCATTGCAATGTTACTGTGAACGGCTGCAAGGTTGTTATCATTTGCAAATGTGCCATGCCCACTTCATTCAATCATGGGGGGACAGTAATTCTCAATTGCAGAGCTCATGTCTGTGTCTGATAAGTATTGTGTACATGCTTAGGTCAAATTTTGTCAGGGTTTCTTCAATTCTAATTCACTGCCTATAACAGTTTAGCACTGGCTTTAAAAGCTCTTGTACTGGATCGCAAAATGAAAACAAGTTATTACGAATTTCATTTGCGCTTTGAACCATGTTTTTATTTAAACTCTTTGCTCATTGTGACTCTTATGATTTCTTGTTTGATGCTTTCTTTGTGTAGGTGTACAAATGTGCTGTTGACAAATCCCATATGGGTAGTTGTCACTCGTATGCAGGTAAAGAGCTAGCTGACATCTTCAGTTTCAATCTTAAATGTTATAGTGAACTACGAAGTCTTAATCTCCACGCTGATTGTCTAAATATGCTTTATAGCATGGAAATAACACAAATCTTGCCATCTGCTGCTTAGTCAAGTCTTCATTCTTAAACAGCTCACTCTTTTTTCTCTGTTTGGTGCCTATATGTTGTACATGTAAATGTGACTGTTTATAAAACAGGTATTCAAATATAAAACTCAATGAAAAGCAAGTTTGTTGCTCTACTTAGTTTGATATTTGAAATTTAAACTACTTTTGTGTTGCAGACTCATAGGAAGAACTCAAAGAAGTCTCAGCTTAGTCACTCATCCATTGCCCCAGCTGAGAAAGTATTAAATCCAATAGAACCTCCTCCATACAGAACTGGCCACACGGTAGGTGCAGTTAAATAGCAATTTATGGCTCTCTTTTATTTACTCATCTGAAACTCGAAGAACTTCCTATTATACTCTAATACTATCAAAGTGCAGTTGAAGTTAATATATTAGGTGGAGACTCTTTCTACTAGATTTATATTGCCTTATTGCATGAGCACATAACTAAATAATCATAGTCTGTGGTGGTGGATAGCTACACAAGCATATGCAATGCTGTAATTCTGAAACTGAAGTTATAAAAAAGGATAATGAAGGGGCGAGTTTATCTGCTAATGAATTGTGAAAGTCTTAGATTTCAGCTACGAAAGTATAGGTTCAAGTCTTGAGAATGCCATCATCATGCAAAGTTATTGAATAATTGGACTAACAAGAGAAATTACACATGTGCTTTTCTCTCCAAGCTTTAAAAAGCAGCATTTGTTGGGCTGCTGGTGATTAATGAATTTTTTTTTTTAAATAATTTCATCAATAAACGTGCTTATTGATTCATATTGTCACTGTAATTTTATTTTATTTACATGTATGTGATAATTGCGGTAACTCACAAAAAAAAGGATGACTTTAGTACACATATTTGTGGTTTAAATATGTTCTTCCTTATTGATGGGAGGCATAATGCAAGAGTTTTGCCTTTGTGTTTTCTTTAATGAAGATAATGTTTTTACAGACTCAAGAACTCTATGATGAAGCAGGAATTTGGGGCTTTTGGAAAGGTGTTTTCCCAACATTAATCATGGTGCGTAATAATTAGTTCTTAAATCCGTTGATGATTATCTCTGATTGCCCTGCTACTTGCAGGTCAGCAAACCTTCAATACAATTCATGCTTTATGAAACTATGTTGAAGAAGCTGAAGACAAATTGTGCCTTGGTTAAGCAGGGTGACACCGGAGTTAGTGCTTTGGAGGTTAGCTTTCCTTTTGTTTTCCCTGGTTCTTGATCTCCCTACTTCTTATTTGTTTCATATTCCCAAGCTGTTATTTCAACAATCACATAATTGTTTTGCATCCTTCCTTTTATAGTAGCTTGATTTAATAGCTGAATAAATTGCCTGGTTTTTTGCCAGATATTTCTCCTTGGAGCTTTAGCAAATCTTGGAGCTACTGTTGTAACATATCCTCTTCTAGTGGTAAAGGTGATTGAAATGTTATTATGGGATGCTAAGGCTACAGAGACTTGAAAACTGATTTACTGTGAGGGTTTGCGACTGAACTCACAAAATGCTTCCTTCCTTCGCTCATCAAAACTAATAATTACCCCGTGACTTAGACACACAGTAACTAAAAGTTTAATGCGGATTCATCGATTGTTGTGTCAGGCTATGGAAGTTATCAGAAAGCTAGAAGCAGAGAGCTTCTACAAGTAATTTTATATCGACCCTTTTCTTAGAATTCAATAGTCACATGGAGAGAGGAGAAAAACAAATATGAAGACAAAAAAGTAAATGATAGAATCAAACATTTGGTCGGCAAAAAGCCAAATGTCCTTTCATTTGTTCCAAAAAATTTGTGCTCGTCAAGTAGATAACCAACTTTTGTTCGTAGGGGACTGCTCCTTTTCCCTCGCTGTAATTTCAGTCGAGGCTTCAAGCAAAACAAATTACAAATGGAGACAAAAGACATCATTATGAAGGTTTGAAGTTTGAACTATTTTTGTGAATTTTAATTACCTAATAAATTATGGAACTAACATGCTACAACTACCTTATCTATTGGCAAAGCCTTATACGTGATGGACTTGCAAGGTCAAAAATTGTAACATGTGATGGATAGTGATAAATATTGTGCCTTGATTTATTATTTATGTCAAATAATTATTTTAATTTTAATTTTATATTATTTCATATTAAATTTTTATCAAATAAATAGAAATGTTAAGATTCGAATTCGTGACGCTCGATTATTAAAGATCTAATACTATAATAAAGAACCATCACAATTTTAAAATTTAAGTTATTAAATAAAAATTTTAAATATAATTTATATTATTTTCTAATATACTATTTAAATAACTCTATATTTTTATTAATTGTATCTCCATTAGTTTTAAAAGTTTCTCATGTTCTTCTTTTATGATCTTTGTTCTATTCTTTTCCTTTAATCTAGGTTCGTTGGACGCTATCCTTAAGACGATTCGCTATGAAGGGTTCCATGGGTTCTATAAAGGCATGAGCATGAAAATTGTGCAAAGTGTTCTTGCCGCCGCTGTTTTGTTCATGATCAAGGAAAGAACTTGTCAGGATGCTCGATTTTTGCTAACCAAGGGAGGCATTAGTACAAGCAAAACAAGGCCTACCTAACCATTTAGGTGGTGACCAAGTGGTAAAGACTTGGGATTAAGGGGTTTGCTCTCTCTGTGGTTTCAGATTCGAGTCCTTGGTTACTTATATGATGGCCACTGGAGGCTTATATGGTCGTTAACTTTAAGGCTCATGGGATTAGTCGTGATGCGTGTAAGCTGGCCCGGACACCCACGTCAATCTAAAAAAAAAAAAAAACAAGGCCTACCTGAACGTAGCCTCGTCATTACATTTCTTCTCCTTATGGTTGTTTCCTTGGTGTAGTCAATTTTTCATTTAGCTGGATGCTAGCATTATTAGGTTCCCTCTTCTAAATAAGTTATTGAAACCAAGGGGAATGCTGCTAGCTTTACCCATCATCATTGAAAATAATCCATCATATAGGCAAGTTTATAAACTTGAATTTTAGGTTTTGTTTGATATGATTTTTGCAAAATAATTTAAGTTGTTTTTTAGCTTTTGGCTTGTGAAAGAGTCACAGTTGTTTGGTTATAAATAATTTTTTACTTGCATCAATAGTTTGTTATAATTTTTTTAAAATTTAATCAAAAGTTAAATTTTTTAAACTATTTTACTTGTTCTATATCTTTTCTTCAGAAAATATATTTCTTCGATTTTTCAATTCCACTGTACTAGATAATGCATTCTCCTCACCGATTCCTTGTAGAGGTGTTCTACATTAGCATTTGTTTATTCTCCCAGTATAAAAATAAAAGACAATAGAAATATAAATATATTTAGCAAAAAACATGTAAATATAAAACTAAATTCATTACTGTAATAATTTTAAAATTATTTTTTATATATAAAAAATATACAGAAGATATATCCAAATTCGGATAATCCTTCTGCCATGTCAAAGATCCCTAACCAAAAATATATTTTTGCATCAATTATTCTAGTAAAAATTCACTCTCCTTTTTAACCTTATATCAAAGTCGTGTTATTAGAGGATAAATTTCGTCATTCAAACGTGAAGTGTAAAATTTAACTTCCAAACAATACTTTTTACCACCTCTTACTTTTGTCTCAACATGCACATCAAATAAGCATTTATTTTTTACCTCATCAATCATTATTAATAATTTAATTAATTTTTTCCTGTTTTTATTAGCAATTTACTCTTCAATTTATTATATACCCAATATCCTTAAAAAACTACTCGTATAATATATAATAATTATTTTTATGATAATTCATCCCATTTTTTTAACTTCCCACCAAACACCACTTTATTCCCATTCACCGTGTGATCTCATGAAATGTAAACTTATCAAAAACAAATCAATGGACATCCAGTCTTGGGGAAAGAGAGTACACCATCAAACCCGTCACTACGGCACCGTCTTACTTCTGTAAATCACTAACAAGCACGCTAGACATACCAGGGTATAATTTAATATATATTTATTTTTGTGTTTAAAATTTTATTATTATTTAAAATTAATTTTTTTATATTTTCAAATTATTTTAAAACACTAATATTAAAAATAATTCTTAAAAAATATTATTTTAATATATTTTTAAATAAAAAATACTTTAAAAAATAATTAACACTAAACTTTTAAACACTTCTTATAAGCTATACCCGTTGAGCATCGTATTCAAATATAAATAAATTTTAAAGAATAAAAATATTATTTTAACACAATTATTTTTTAAAAAATAACATTTTCCAAACATTTAAGCGCTCTTTAATATCATAATCCTGTACTTCTCACAAAGACAAACACACTTATAAAAAAAAAAAAAAAACCAAATCTATCTGTCTCTCGCTCGCTGACGAAAAAATGCAAGAAAAGAAAACGGAAATGGCAAACAAGAACGCAAAGAAGGCAAATCTCTTAGATCACCACTCAATCAAGCACATTCTGGACGAATCCGTCTCCGAGGTAACCCACTAAACAAAAACCCTAAACCTCCTCTCCATAGAATAATTGATTTCAATTTGTTAATTGGCGTTGTTTTATTTTTGAGTTGTAGATTGTTATAAGTTGTGGACATGTAGAAGATGTGAGGATGAGCAATATAAGGTTGTTCTTGGGGACAATTATTATAGTGATTGCGCTTCTTGCTCAGTTTTACAACAAGAAGTTCCCTCAGAATCGGGACTTTTTGATCGGATGCATCGTATTATATCCTTTTTAATCAGTGATTTTATTTTACTTTAGTTTGATTTTCTTTTTTATTTTATTTATGTTTGGTGGCTTACAATTTTGTGGAATGGAGTTGTGAAATTCAGTAATTTATGTTTCTCAGGTTTGATAGTTGAAAAAATTGTTGTTTTCTTTTTATTGTTCAGTGAAATAAATTCTTTGCTGGTTTATGCTCTCCAGTGCCTCTGTCTGGTCTAGTTGGGGTTGAGTTTTTGTTAATTTTCTAAACCAGGGTGGCGTGAATTGCGAGATTTACAATCTCAAACTCCTTTCTTAAATTGAAATTAAACAATAATGAGGTGAATTTTTGGGTACCATATTCTTAATGTTCGTGAAAGTGGATGTTTTAAACAGAATAGTTCCAACGTTATTGATAATCCTCCCATCATCACTTTTCTATGAATCTCAGTCATTGGATTTTTGGGATCCGCTCATTCAATGGATGTGATTTTTCAGAAAGAGATTTTCGAGAAGCACCGTTTTGTGAAAATAAGCATTACCCTTGTAAGTCTATAGGGTGTATCTTTTACTACTGTTCACTGAAAAATCACTGGTTTGAAAGTCCTTATTTTAATTTTCATGGCAAACAACTGCGTGGTTGTGTTTGAAAGGAATTGATTGGTAACATGTTAAACTCTGATTTGTTTAATCCTTGACCCTGGCAAGTATATAGTCTTCAATGGATTGTTGCAGCTGATCATCCACTTAAAAGAGAAGAATGCCATCTTAGTTACTTATCCACCCAAGGTAAACCTCTATCCTTTTTGTTACAATAGCTGCAACTATTACATGAAAATTCACATGCGGTTCTGCAGATATTTAGATGTTGATATTTAATGTCTATTTTGCATCATGTGATGGCTGGTTACATGGGATAATATTTAGATGTACAGATGCAAGTTCAATACTTATTTTTGGTACAATATTCAATCAACACCACCCCTGCCATCATAAAGGAACTCTTTTTTTTTTGTGGTGTCCATGGTTCCATCACTATTAGCAAAAACATCTCTTGACCTTGGGCTAGATTAGACTTTGGAATTTGAGCTAAGCAAAAGTTCCCCCCCTCTTCCTACCAAGTTGAGCCTGAAAAGCTATTGTTACCTTTTGTCAAATGGTCAACTTTGGATCCACTTCTTCTTTGTACTAAGTTTAGAAGCAGTTATTATAATTTTTAGTCCATGTCTCCTGCAGATATTCATGTGACTTCTTTCCCCTTCATCTTTGTTGATATGTCTGTATGCATGTTTGTAAGTTTTTTGATAGCAGCTTCGCATACTACTCATTTGTCGTTTTTGCTAAGCATTCTATCACTGGCTGTCTCTGTCTTTTGGGTTGTTTTGGTAGACAACCCCTCTCTTTGTGGTTACATGCATTCTTTCCTTCTCCACCTTGATGAGTTCATAGGCATTTTTTGAGGTTTTTCGCCTTTTCTGTCACTGTGAGGAGTGTGTATTTCAGACTGCAATTCTTCTTTACACTTCATGTTTCTCTTTTGTCTCTTTTACTATATGTCTACATGGGTTGAATTTTTAGGGGAGAGAAGGGAGGAGGATGAACTCATAAATATTGTTCGAGAGCCTTTTTTGATAGGAACAGAGAGACCAAGGGTTGGGGTGGGGTCTTTTTGCTTAGAATGATTTTTTTCATTTTCTTTTTTATGTAATTTTCCACTGGAATAAAACTATAAAAGCCATTATTTGCTACAATCATTAAAGTGCTGCTGGACGTCTCCTTTCATTGAGTTTCTCTTGCACTGCTAAAAAAGGAATGTGAAGGTGGGTTGCTCTTTTCTTTTGTTTCAAAATATTGAGAGCTATGGACTGGAATTCTTCTTGACTTTCTTATTGACTAGTCACTGTATTTCTGAATTTGAAATTCAAGCTGGGGTGATATGCTTGTCAATTTTGTTGCATAAATTCATGACTGACCACTTTATCTTAGACTTCACTGTTTTCCACGATCTATTTATCCATTTGTGTGTTTTGTAATATGGTGTCGTGGTTTTGTCAAAGTGTGTTTATGTTGAAAGGGCATCAATTTGATTCTTTTTCGGGTCCTTTTTGATGGTTTTGACATCTTCATATCAAAACTATTCAAATTACAAGAAACTGTATTAATGCCTTTTAAGCTTAAATACACTTTCAAACGCAACCTTTTAAACCATATAATCTTTATGCATAAGTTGCCCCTTATAATTCCTGACCAGAAATAGTTGTAAGATTCTGTTACTGTACTACATGCTTCATTCTTAATATGCATATTCAGTTAAATTTTGCTTTGCTCTGGCTTTCATGTTTGTCTATGGATTTTGTCTGACGTTTTAGGTGTATTGACTGCCATAAAATCATACTTGTTTGTGATTTTCATCAGCTTAAGTTTCATTATTTCGTGCCAATGCTGGTCAATCTATCTCCTGCTTGTTGCCCCTTAATACCCCTCTCGCTGCCCTAATATCCTACCTTTTGTACAGGGATCTTACACCAGCACTGGTTTAGTCGTCTCTTCAAAATTGCCAAGATTTTCTGACAAGTACACACTTAGCATAGCTAGCGCAGATCCTAAGTCAATTTCTGCCGGGAAACCAGTTCAGATTACCAAAAGCATCACCCAGTGGTCTCCCCCTCCCTTCTCTCACACACTCAAAAATTTCAGATTGTTCGTGTTTATGAAATGCACCGTGTATTTCACCATATTTATTATATGCCACAATGTTTCAGGTTCACCAAGGATGGAGTTTTGGTGGAGGGCCTGTTCTGGAAAGATGTTGAAGCACTGATTGATGATTATGCAGCAGAACCAAAGAAGAGCAAGTGATTTACCTGTTTAACAGAATGTGACAGTTGAATTGTTAGATAGATAGTGCCTTGGTAATATTGGGGTTCGACATAGATGATCATCGAGATTATGGTTGTTGTCTTGGAAATTTTTTAGCTAAACTAATTGATTATGTCTGGCATTATCTTTAGAAAACCATCTACATCGCAAGAAAATCATTGTTGGCAGATGAAATTGTGTATTTGGTATTTTAGGCTTTCTGGTTATTCTACAAATATCTATGTGGCCGCCTCATACCTCACTGTAATACTAGACATTCAGCAAGTAGTGTGCTGATGTGCTTTAAGGCCTATGATCCTCGTGTTATGGGTTCAAAACTTCTGCAAAATTGGATGCGTTGATTTGCTTCCTCATTCAGTAGCCCGGAATGAGGTCGCGTTCTTCTGAATTGATTGAAATTGATCTCGGATCGGTGAGC